AAATTAGATGGAGAAATCCCTTGCTCCAACGATGCTTTAGCATCAACCAACCCCTCCCTGGCCGATTTAATTAGCCAAGATGGGCAAGGGTCAAGAGTCGAAGTGGTTGCCCTCACAGCTCCAAGGACCTCCTCCACGGCCTCAGGAAGAACAAGCCTAAAAGAATCCCACAAAATTGGACAAGTAGATGCCTCAATCACCTCATCTGGTACTGTGATGAAATTGGCGTTGAGCTCAAGGTGTATCTGAGCAACTTTGCCTGCAAAATGGTGTGCGAACTCGCTACACCGAGTTGCCGAGTCGTCGAAGGTCTCCTCCACCACAGGTGGGTGAAGGAGTTCCCCGACAACCCGAAACAGCTCCGATGATCTATTTGCTGCAGACGCTATACAGGTGGTCGTGAAGGATTCCCTGGCACCCGTATAGCCACGGAATATGCCTTAAGAGAGGCTTTAGCCCGTGCTTGGTCAGACGCGTCCCGAGATCTCCTCCAAATGCGCTCTAGCCCCCTTCTCGTATGCTTCATCACAGCCAGCTCTGCCTTCAGCTACAGAGGTAGTATGCCCTGACTACTAGTCACTAGGAAACTACAATCTGGCATGGCTATGTTTTGCTTTGGGTCTCTCTCACTTGACATCCGACTGACTATTATTATTAGACACATAGCAAAGGACTGGATGGGCTTTGGGTCTAATTTAGCAGGGATCTTCTTATGGATTAATGAGTAATTTGTAGTATTGATACATGGAGATAGTTTTCCAAGACTGCCTCCTTCTTCATCTACAGATGCCTCTGTACAAAATGTCTCCAAGTCTGAGCATGGAATGGTGCCCTAACGGCATTACAATTCTTCAGGATTCGGAGACCTGTTTGAAAACATTGAACTGTCACTGTTGATGAAGGCTGGTAGAGTTTACAGCTAAATACAACCTCAGTTTGTATTTAGGGAGCCCACGGTGGCGCAGTGGGTTAAACCACTGAGCTGCTGAGCTTGTTACCAAAAGGATGCAGGTTTGAATCCGGGGAGTGCCGTGAGCTTTCGCTGTCAGTCCCAGCTTCTGCCAACCTGCAAAAACATGCAAATGTGAGTAGATCAATAGGTACCGCTCCGGTGGGATGGTAATGGTGCTCCATGCAGTCATACTGGCCACATGACCTTGGAGGTGTCTACGGACAATGCTGGCTCTTTGGCTTAGAAATGGAGATGAGCACCAACCCCCAGAGTCGGACACGACTGGATTTAATGTCAGGGGAAAACCATTACCTTTACTCACAACCTTGATGTATTTAATGAAAAAATATTGTTTTATTTACACTGCAGTCTTTCAAAATGGTTTAATTCACTTCATTTTTTTAAAAAAATATTTTTTATTGATTTTATTTTACATACACATTGATAAAAACAAGGAATGAATGTGAGGGAAGGTTACAAAGGAAGGTTATGGTGGGGAAAGGGAATTGGGGGGGGAGGGGGAAGGGATCACGTGTGGGAAGGGGGGAATGCTGGTGGGGGGGGGACGAGGGTGGGGATTGGATACTTCCAGGTTTATCCAGAGTGGTACAAACATTTTTGATTTAACATGTTAAGTTTAACTTTCACATATTATTCCCATCTATTGTATTTGAAGTAAATATTGAATTTTATGTTGCGCCTTGTGGCTAGTTTCCTTAGAGGTAATAAAAATGTCCGTATAGTTAATTGCTTAGGGTGTTTACTCCCTTATTTTTCTTTTACTTTCATCTTTTTCTTGGATTATTTTTTATATCTCTATTGTGTACATCCCATTGTTTTCCTCCTTTATGAATTTTAATACTGATTTCCAGTTGGTTTCCTGAGGTTTTCTGTAGTTTTGGGAGATTCTCTGAGTCAAAATATCCATATTTATTATATCTAATATGGGTCCAGTGTTCCAATGTTGGTACTTCTTTATTTTTCCACAATCTTGCTAGGACCATCCTAGCAGCTGTTGTTAAGTAAAAAATTATTTTATCTTCATTCTTTTCCAGTTTAAGGTTATGGAGTCCTAATAATAGGGTTTCTGGTCTTAGTTCAAATTTTATCTCAAAGATTTTTTCAATCGATCTATGAATTTGTATCCAGTATTTTTTGATCCCTTTGCATTCCCACCACATGTGTAGAAATGTGCCCTTCTCTCTTTCGCATTTCCAACATCGATCTTTTTTTTTGTTCTTATTGATTTTGGCAAGGATTTCGGGTGTTAAATACCACCTATAGAAGATCTTGTACCAACTCTCCTTTAGATCTGTAGCGTATGTATACTTAATTTTGCTTTTCCAGATTTTTTCCCAGTCAGTTAGTGATATTGAATGACCTAAATCTCTTGCCCAGGTTATCATGTTGGTCTTGACTTGCTCTGTTTCTGTGGTCCAGGTTAGTAGCTGGTTGTATATTTTTCTTATGAGTTTTGTGTCTGTTGTTAATATATTGTCCCAGAAGGATGCCTTTGTTTCAAAGCCAATTGTTTCATCGATCTTAAAGTTTTCTCTGATCTGGTGGTAATGGAACCATGAAATAGAGGATGTAAGGAAGTTATCAATGCTTTATATGTATTTGAGCTGTTTGTCTGTTTGCTGGGTGGCAATGGCTAAAAGCTGGAGTTTACTAGTTGTCTCCACTGTGGCGTTGCCAGGGAAACCAAGCAAAAGAAAGTGGGCGGAGCCTAGAAAGAAAAAAATCCACCTGCGTTTGAAAAGAGTCAGTTAGTGTCAGGGAGAGTTAGAAGTCGGTCAGTTAGTGTCAGGGAGAGTTAGAAGTCGGTCAGTTAGTGTCAGGGAGAGTTAGAAGTCAGTCAGTTAGTGTCAGGGTCAGAGTTAGAGTCGGTTGGAGTTAGAAGTCAGGTATAGAGGAGTGAAGAGTTAAGTTTTAGTGTTCAAAGTGAACAGTAGAGAGAATAGTGAGAAGTAGAAAGATAGATCTAAGTTAAGACTATCTATGCTGCTGTAAGATTTACTGACAGACAAACTATCTGTTCAGTATTCTGGTGTAAAGGGAGAAAAGAAAGTCTCTTATGTAACAAAGACAGAACAATTTATGTAACCGTCACGCTTTAAGACACAGCTTGCTGAAACAGTCAAGAATTTTAACTATATTTGTTCCTGTTTTAATTAATAAACTTTATTGATTATTATTCGACAAATCCTGACTCAAGTGTCACTCTATCCTGGAAGATTTTTAAAGCAGCTTTGGATAGCTGAGAAGAAAGTTATGGTGGCAGCATTGATTAATGATCTGAATAGATCTTTATAATTTTGGTCTCCAATGAGTGAGATCTGATTGCAAAGTGGTGACATTCGGTGACATTAAAACAGCCATCCCTCCCTCCTCCCGCATTGTTTGCAAATTGGCCAGCTAAACAGCCATCTCTCTCCCTCCCATCTTCGCTCTTTACAAATTAGAAGATAGCAAGGTGGGATATTATTGCAAATTAATAAAGTGGAGAGACGTCTCTTCGCAAGGAGTCTGCTTGGTTTAATTCTTCTCTTGACTTAAGTGTGATTTCCTGTCCCTTGATGTTTAGAAGTTGTTTATATGAGAGCCATATTTTCCTGGGTATTTCCCTTTTGTGATGTGCTTCCGTAGGGGAGAACTACATTGGTGTTTTTTGATGGAATTTATTTTTATATTTGTTCCAGGTATTAATTAATGCAGCTCTTATAGGGTGGTTCTTAAAGAGTTTTTCCTTTTTATCTTTATTTCTCCAGAGATAAGCATGCCACCCCTGATTTATGTCAAAGCCTTCCACTGCAAGGATCTTTTCTTTTTTTAGTGTCGCCCAGTCCCTCACCCAGCTTAACGCTGTGGCATCATAGTATAATTGTAGCTCAGGGAGAGCTAGTCCCCCTCTCCTTTTGTCGTCTACTAGATGTATTGCGCTTATTCTGTGCTTCTTGTTGTTCCATATAAATTTGATGATTGCTTTCTGCATTCACTTCATTTTTTGAAGTTGCAGTCCTCATTTAAAAAAAACAAAAACAAAAAAACAACGTATTGTGTAAAAAGGCTCTTGACTAACAGTGCTATAGCATTGTAGTGCAATAGGATCCCTAGGTAGTCACATTGAATCCCTAGATAGATAGATAGATAGATAGATAGATAGATAGATAGATAGTATTTAAATCCCCCTTTCTCACAAGATGGGATTCAAGGCTATTTAGAGGTACCATTATTCTACGAGGACATCGCTATAGCTCTATTATTCCACTTTAGCTGCCACAGAAATATTTTGTGGAATCCTGGAGTTTATAGTTAAGTAAGGCCCATGTGCTCTGTGCTGAGAATTCGAAATGCAAATCCCAAGATTCCATTTTACGTTGTCACAGTGGTAAAAGTGGAATAATAGCACTGTAACAGCATGGTGTGATAGAGTGCTAAATGTGACCTTATCCCAAAAAAACCTCAGGCCTCATCTACACTGCCATATAATGTAGTTTGAAATTGCATTTTATGGCCAGTGTAGACTCATATAGTGCAGTTCAGTGCAGTTAAACTGCATTATATGAATCTACGTTGATCATATAATGAGTTTCAAACTACATTATACTGCAGTGTAGATGAGGCCCAAGTCTCTGAAAGGATTAAGACTTTCTAGTTCTTTTAATGCTGATTTTACCTGCATATTATTCAGCTTGCATCCAAATGCTTTCTTAAAATATCTTGCATTTCCCTCCCTCTGTTGTGCTTATTCCTTCTGCTCCCATTGACCATGTTTCACATCTAGACTCTGGCAACATTTCAGAAAAGGATTTCCATCAATTTCCAGAGAACCTTCTTTATTATTATTCAAGAGTTATAGCCAAAGTGCCAAAATAGCTTAGCAATATTAGAAGAGTTAAGCATTAGAATCCTTTGGGTTTAGTGCTGGCATTCCTTTTTCCATCGTTTGACCTCTGTTGAATCTGCATCCTGGAAACAATAGTGATGTTTTACTGTCAGAAGTCATCTTGGCTAGTTTTGGAAAGATACACATAGACCACAAAGCTGAGATACATTGCATTTTATAAAATTCTGGTTTCATTTAAACTGATCTGAGGAATTGGAATGAAGTCCTTACTAATGCAAGGAGATCCCAGGAAATACTTAGGAATGACAAAAGTGCAACGTAAACATCCAAAATAAAATTGGTTTGCACAGGAAAACAACCGGAGACTTTCAGATTTCCTTTCCTCATCTGGAGGAGGCTCTATGTTAAAACAGAAGATAAAATCATTTACAGCCATGACCAAAAATAAAATACAGCAGTGCAGATCTAATATGAAGAGAATGTTTCATTAAAAACTTACATATAACATTGGTCACAACAGGGCTATCCAGGAGAAATCCATAAACCTAGGATCCTTATTGTTTTTGTATTGAACTCAGAAAGTGATGAATGACAATTCTTAAGAAAAGAAACATGGATAGGTTCTTCCCAACGTGTAAACTCCAGGGCATACTCTGAAGTAAATCATGGTTTTCAAGTGGAATTAATGACTGGATGCAGCACTTCTGCTTCAAATTCAGTGGTTGACCATGTGAATTCCCTGAAGCAGTGGAGAGGTAAATTCACATTATTTGGCCCTTGTAGACACAGTCTAAATAAATTAGTAGGAATAATTCCCTCATTTTATCATGATGTAGAACAGCCTTAACAAAGTGTTGTTGAAGGCTTTCATGGCTAGAATAACTGGGTTGCTGTGAGTTTTCCAGGCTGTATGGCCATGTTCCAGAAGCATTCTCTCTTGATGTTTCGCATCCTCAGAGTTTGAGGGGTCTGTTGAAAACTAAGTAAGTGAGGTTTATATATCTGTGGAATATCCAGCGTAGGGGAAAGAACTCAAAAAGCAGGGGAATTCCAAAAAAGAATCAAGCAGGGCCAGCTAACACCTCCCAACAAAGGATTCCCCCAGGCAGCAACCAGCCAGGACTTTAAATGCAAATCAAGGTGGCAAATTGCAACATTCACACATACCTCTAGCAGACAAGAGTTCTTTCCCTCATCCTGGACATTCCACAGATATATAAACATCACTTACTTATTTTCCAACAAACCCCTCAACCTCTGAGGATGCCTGTCATAGATGCGGGTGAAACATCAGGAGAGAATGCTTCTGGAACATGGCCATACAGCCCGGAAAACACACAGCAACCCAGTCTTAGCAAAGTTTCTTGTTGTCATTTCCAAGCTTGAAAATATGTTCTTTCTGTATATGAATGAGAAGATGTGAGCAACTCTAATTGGTATATAACTCTTAATGACA